AGGGGAAACCGAAGTACTCGGAGAAAACCTGCCCCAGCGCCACTTTGTCCACCACAAATCCCACTTGACCAGACCCGGGATCGAACCCTGGCCGCCGCGGTGGGAAGCCAGTGACTAACCGCTTGAGCTGTGGCGCGGCCAAAAAAATGGTGCCGAAACCCTGGACCGAATCTGTAGAGGTTAGTTTTCTATATTTATGTTAAAAAAACTTCATAAAATGTATACAAAAAAAAAAAACAGACTGCAGTGTGGTCGGTGGCTACCGTTGTTTCGGAGGAACCAACTTCTTACGTCTCCACCATGAAGATGGAGAACTGTGTTCCTCCGAAATCTTGGTAACCACCTACCAGGTTACACGGCGTCATAAGCCAGAAGACCACTTGAATGTAAAGAAAGTAAAGCTATCCCTGTAACAGACCGTGGAGGCCCATAGGGTTGTGAGACGTCGAGGCTTCCACATTTTCTACACAATCGGCTCACAGATGGCGGTGAGGTTGTCAGCCTTACGTACCGGACGCCCTTTACTCCCCAGAAAGATTCCTGGTACTCATTTCTCTTAAAAGCTGAGTCGACCCCAGGGCCATAGTGCGGCTGGAAGGATTAGGTCAATTGAAAAAATCCACCTCATCGGGACTCGATGCCGTGACCTCCTGGCTTGTAACATAGTGCCTCAACTACACTACCGCGTGCCCTTCCAAAAGACCACTTATGGGGCTTAATTGCAATGTATGAATCAAGAATTATCAGAAAACATTTAACAGAATCAGGAGCGGCAAACTGCAAATGATTCTGTGCAAGAATTGACCCGGTTGTAACTGCTTTCAGGGTGCAGTTCGAGATGGAGGCTGAGTAGTGCAAAGACATCAGAGCCTTCGCCCTTGGACCTGTACATCGAAGGTAAGACAGGCTGTACCTTAGCTCACTTCCGGGATATGCATCCCAGTTGGTGCCTGCGCATTTTGTGGTGAAAGGGGCAATTACTGAAAAGCGATATTTTTTCTTATAACTTTTTTGTTAAGTACTGTCACGTGTATGAGTGAATGTGGACAGGGTCTGGATTGGTGAATGCATTTATTGATAACTTATACACACGACTTTGCGGCGATTAAGCTTACGACCGTTCAAGTGACTAAGCTGCCGTTGTAGCATAAGATACGTAAGATAGACATGATCTACTCTACAAACCCTGTATTGACAGAGGGCTTGTATATATAGTGCACAAGGAAGAATTTTCAATAATACGCTATATGTGTGCGATACCTACACTTGACGAAAGGCTTTGCTGAGGACGCCACACAGTTGCAGAATGCGGTGCGTAGTTTTTTGTCTGCAATGGAGCCAGAAGAAAGCGTAGCATTCGCCCCTCTTGTTTATTTCTACAACGGACGTCACGACGTTCGTTACAGCGGACGCATTTTGTGCGCTCGTGTAGACGCTGCCTTAGTGCCAACTTTAGTGGATAGAGGGTGTCGCGTGGTCAGCGCAACGGATCCCCACGGCCGTTAATCTCGGTTTTCTAAACCGGAGCCGCTATTGCCTTGAAATAGCTCCTCAGTTATCATCACGAGGCTGAGTGGACCCCGTTCCAGACTCACTGCTTCTCAGAAAATCTGGTAGGGTCGGGAATCGAACCTCCGGTTCTGTAGCCAGGAACTCTGACCACTGGACCACAGAGGTGGTGCTACCTAGTGATACAATAGGAAACTTGTTACGTCCATTACAGCTGTTTTTCTTCTATTTGTGACCTGTTTGCTGACTCTCCCTGGTATGTCGAATTCATATACTAGGAGATGCTTACAATACAACTCGTAAGAATTAGTAAGCAAACAAATTTCACATCTGGGACCCAGTGTGAGATATTTTAATTTTATAATGATATTTTGCGCAGTGCAAAATTGTCATAAGTATGAGTAGTGTTACTTTATCTGTCGGCATCAGGAGTGAAATTTCCCCTAATTTCACATTACAGAAGTTGAAGGGGAGGGTCGCCTTCGGGCACTACAGAAGATTTGTATACCTCATTGTTACGCTTATTAAATTGTCATTAACTTAATTAAATGTATAATCCGTTGTAGTGTGCCGAGTGTTGGCAGGTTGCTTTGTACAAAATGGAGGAAGAGGCTGTGCTTGTGTCAGATTATGTACGGTCTGCCCAGAGAGATTTCTAAACTGTGTTGAAATATAATTTAAATACAGAATAACAAATAGGAATATCACAAATAATATTATAATTAAATTACTAAGGGTAATTGGTTCTGAAATTTCATATAAGCTGTAAGTTAGGAATCCCATATTGATATCAGCTTATTACCGTGTAGATGGTCATATAAACGTCCAATGTAATGTAACGGTTGAAATTGTCAAGGCACTGACAATGAAAATCATCGTATTCTTGGATGCGATCCCGTGTACTTTTTTTTTCTTCACTGCTTTCTAAGAACCGAGACATCTAATCGGTGTAGCTACGGGCTGGACGACTGGGGTTCGATTCCCGGCAAAGGCAAATTATTTTTTTCTTTCCTCCACAGAGTCTAGACCTCCTGCGGCCCACCCAGCCTCCTATCTAATAGGTATCGGGGGCTCTTTGCCCAGGGGGAAGAGCGGCTGGAGTGTGAAGCTGTCCACCCCCATCGAATGGTGAGGTTCAGAATGCTGCTTAATTACTTAAAGCTCATTGACACCTGAGCCTTAACTTTTCCGATGTCTCCATACTTAAAGAGTAGATGAGTACTCTGAAACGTCGGTAAACATTTTTTAGACTCACATCCCAGAAGGCAATAGAGGCTGGCCAAGTCCGTTAACTTCGTTTGCAGTAAACAAAGGGATTATCCCTGTGGTAGAGCAGGGCTGAACACAAAGCAGGATGTTCAGACCAATACAGTTTGGAGACAGGAGCGAACTGTATCGATTGACCCCAACTGATCAGTCCTTTTACCTGAGGTTTGAGGCCCAGTATAGTCTACGAAACGTCGTTTTGAATAAATAGAAACAGGACGATGGGAAAAATTTATCCTTGTAAGATGCCGTGCCGTTGAGGCTCCCACTTTCTCTAGACAACGGCTCACATATAACGGTGAGGTTGTCAACCTTACGCGCCAGCTGCTCTTTACCCCCCAGGAATATTCCTGGTACTCATTTCTGTTAGAGGCTGAGTCGACCCCAGGGCCATAGTGCGGCTGGAAGGATTAGGTCAATTGAAATAGATCCAGTGACCTCATCGAGAATCGAACCCGCGACCTTACAGCTTGCATCATAGATCGTCAACCAACTACGCTACCGTGTGCCCGCAGAACGATAGATCACTCGCTCATGGAGCTGAGCCCTTCTTGAGAAGCCGCCACTGGTCCCTATCCTGAGTCAGATCTATCCAATCCATACCATCCCATCCTATCTCTCAGACATCAATTTTAATATTGTCCACCCACCTACGTCTTGGTCTTTCCAGTGGTCTCTTTCCTTCTGGCTTGTAGAACTATAGGTAATGTGCAAATTTCGATAATTGTTTATGTGTGGTAATTAATTTATTACATCTGACATGTTTTGGCGCATACGAGGCGTTTCCAGAAGGCATACATTAGAAGGAATTATGACATTTTGTGTAATATTGTAGTTATGTTTTGTCATAACGTGTGAGGTATGACCATTGTAGTGTTGTTGCATTTATGTTGCGTTGTCTCCTCATTGTGTCTGTGTTGTACGATTTGTGTGTCACACAGGATGGGACCCTTAGTGGCATCGTTATGTGTACGAATGTAGCGGTTAATATGTCACATATCAAAACATGGAAATATTATTTGTCATGGTAATACCTTTCGTTTGTGGCTTATTTTATGGCACTGTCAGTATATCTAGACATCTTAGCGTAAAATTGCGGGTTGACACATGGATGATGATGAATTGGAAGAGAACGCTCTGGCCTAATCGAATTATTATTATTATTATTATTATTATTATTATTTACTTTATTTTTAGCCTATTTTCCTTATTTTGAAAGAAATCAAAGTAGGCGTAAGAGGGAGTCGATGTATAGATCCACGTTTTCTTGACCTTGGCACTAGCTGGAGGTGAGTGGTCATCATCACGCTACGGCCGCTTTTAGCCCGGAGAATTAAAAAAAAATCGCTTAGTGGGGGGTGGAGTCCAGGTGGGTCCACTCGGTACGGCGGCCACTGATTGGCTTAATGTAGTCTGCCCCAGGTGAGTATGATACTGGAGAATTTGGTGGAATGACGATTGGCAGGGGACACCGAAGTACTCGGAGAAAACCCGCCCCACCACAAATCCCACTCGACCAGACCCGGGATCGAACCCGCACCGCCTGGGTGGGGAGCCAGCGACTGACCGCTTGAGCTATGGCGCGGCCACTCCTCCGGGGAAAGAGCCCCCGGTACCGCATTGGATATGAGATTAGGTGGACCCCAGAGCTGGTCTGGAAGACGTGAAAAAGAGAAAATTCTTGACCCTACCGGGACTGGAACTCCGATCCTTCTGTTATCCAGCCCGCAGTCAGTCGCTATACCGACTGAGCTACCGCGGCTCCTCTAGTTATGACAGTAGAGTTAACAGTAGCAATGTTAGCAGCGGTGCTGGTAGCACAGTACGTCAAAGGAGCAACAGCTTACGTCGGTAAGGTGCATATAATTCTTATGTAGACATTAATAATATTATTCCTTGAACATTTTGTGATGTTACAGGGGGGAAGAAATTACTTATTCTTAGAAGCAGCGTTTCAAAAATCCCCGCCCCATTGTTGCTTTATTACTACTAGGAACGCGGGTCGTATGAACGCAGATGATAATGTTGAGACAGAAGTTTATTTTCGTCACAGCTGATGGTTCGAATATAAACAGCTACTTCTGTACGAAGCTAAGAATATTTGTGTTCTGGTATGACTTATTATATATACCATCTAAATACCTCCTCACCCCCACTATCCCTTTAAACGTTCTTTCGCCACGCCCCCTCCAACAAGGAACCTCCCTCCTGTTATGTTAACTTTGATATTCACAAGGCAGTTGCGAGAATGCAACACATTCTGCCGAGACAGCGGGAGGGAGGTAGCACTGTACGTCAAAATACACGCACAGGCCTCCCATGAAATTTCGAGGGTGTTGTAGTGTTTTGGAAAGAGCCCTTAAAAACCCCTAGTACATATATAACATCGTAAATAATATATTTTTGTCCTGTAGTCTGGGTTCTGTAATACCCGGTGTGCNNTCCCCGGGGTGCGCACCCCCCCCCCCCCCCCCAACCACCTTTCGGCTTCGCGTGAAGGGCAGTCATGAAATCTTCCCTAACTCCCACATAAACAGAACAGCTGAAATTTTTATAATGTCCACATTCTCATTATATCCCAGGGATAGTAATTACCAGAGAATGGCTCCGCCCTCCAGAATTTACGAGGTGAACCAATGAAAATCGAGCAAACTCTGGAAACCGCCACTTTCCGTCTTGGTTTGGTGTGACCAGTGTAGCCAACATACCGGTTTTCCCCCCAGCTATATTTTTTAACATTAATTCGTGAATTTATGTTGATTGACACATTTGCATTCACGGTATTTATTGTGAATTTGTAACTCTTTCTGCGGGTTCTCATTCCAAATTTTACCTGTTTCTTTTGTGTCTTTATTCGTAATTCCCACGTTTACTTGCAATACAGGAAACGTTTCACAGTAGCACGTGCGAGCCTGACAAACAGACCTGTTGAGTTTATTTGTAGTTCCCGCAGAAATTGCCAACTCATGTTGTTTTCCAACAGTTGTTTGGCCCAACAAATTACCTTTACATATCCAGAAATTTCTATTGTAAGACACAACCGGATGTATGATATGGTATATACTGCACTGATTGGTCCGCGCCATACCTCAAGCGGTTAGTCGCTGGCTGCCCACCGCGGC